CATGAAAATATCATCATCATTATGATATACAGTAGATTTTAAAGAATATAGTTTTGTTTTCCTTTAGATAAAGGCACTTACCATGGAGAGGTAGGTGTAGGAGGCGTACAGCTCCAAGTTCACCATACGGTTGATGGCAGCCTCGCAGTCACGGTGGAAGTTCTGGCGCACCTGGGACTCCATTTCAGCGTTTCGGTGGTTTTGGGTGGCGCAAAAAAAGCTGTAAAGAAATAGATGAAAAAAGAGCAAAAGACTCAGAGAGGGTTCCGTTCAAACACTGTTGAAGCAAGAACTCTGCTCAGAGTCAAAACTAGATCTGATCACAACACAAAGGATCTCTGTATTTATAGGCAGCCAGCCCGAGGACTTAACACCCTCCCTTCACTTACATCATCTACCAGCAGCCAATCACAACCCAAGGATTCTGCTCACCATCACAGAGGGAGGGGGGATTACCTCACCACTAGTCATTTTACAGAAATGAGTAAACATGCAGATTCACATTTGCTTGCAAATATTTTCAGTTACACTAGTGACATTTTTACCAGATATATAATGTTTACAATGGATCTGTGTGCTAAGCTTAAATTGGCCATACGCTGGTAGATTTTCATATGAACTTTCATGGGACAAATCTCTTCAATTCTAAATGTTGTATGATTTTAACATTCAATTTTGGAATTAAAACCACATTCACTGTTAGAATTTTGGTTGGTCGAGAAACATTTTCCATCACGTTCCTTCGATATTTTGTCATCACTGCGGTCAAAATCAATCATCGATTTGACCCCATTAGCTATTAGAAAATCTAACAAACGCTCCATTGTAAAGAAATTCTAACCCAGCTTTAGTTTAAAAACAATTATAGTAACATCTACACATACAGCATACATCAAGGGCCATTCACACTTGCCCGGCCACTGAACACTGCATTTTAGCAGACGGGCTAGTGTGTTGTGGCAGCTCCGGCAGTGTGCGTTGTATCTACAATTGCCACCTTTTCTTCAAGTGAAACCCGAACACTGTGTGGGTTCTCATAGGGGCTGTGTGCCTCTCAGGTGGGCTATGTGGCTCTTACATGGATTGTGTGACTCTCAGGTGGGCTGTGCTCCTCTCATGTGGGCTATGCGCCTCTCAGGTGAGCTGTGCAGCTCTCAGGTGGGCTATGCATATTTCAGGTGGGCTATTCGCCCCTCAAGTTGGCTGTGTGTCTCTCAGGTGGGCTGTGTGACTCTCAGGTGAGCTGTGCGCACTCAGGTGGGCTGTGTGACTCTCAAGTGGGCTGCGCAACTCTCAGGTGGGCTATGCAACTCTCAAATGGGCTGTGCGACTCTCAGGTGGGCTGTGCGACTCTCAGGTGGGCTGTGTGACTCTCAGGTGGGCTGTGTGACTCTCAGGTGGGCTGTCTGGGCTATGGTGTCTCACAAGGGGTCCGCAGGTGGGCAAGCACAGTGTCAGGGAGCCGAAGGATGAGGAGAAGGCAATAAAAGATCCGGCTGCCGTGGTCAACAGGCACAGGCTGCCCGCAGCTCAGAGGAAGATCCAGTTTCAGGCAGATGCGGCTGCCCGAGATTGCGCTTGCTGGGGACCTTGGCAGCTGCATCTGGCTGGACACCCAGACACAAAATCGGACTGTCCAGGTCAAAACCGGACAGGTGGCAGCCCTAGTTGTATCACACATTGCCGGAGTTGTCACTGTTTACATTTTCTTTTAACTTTACGTGGACTGTACAATGTAAACACTCCATTCAGGTCCCTGGGGCATGCACTGCGCTGCCGAGTGGCGACCTGCGGTGGCATGTTTGCATTTTATCGCAGAGTCCATCACGCGCGCATTGTGGTCTGAATAGGACACATAGAAAACAATTATTTTCTATGTGTCCTTGTGGTGACTTGTGTTGAGCTGCTGCAGTAAAACGCAGGTCTGCGACCTGAAAATATCATCATCATTATGATATACAGTAGATATTAAAGAATATAGTTTTGTTTTCCTTTAGATAAAGGCACTTACCATGGAGAGGTAGGTGTAGGAGGCGTACAGCTCCAAGTTCACCATACGGTTGATGGCAGCCTCGCAGTCACGGTGGAAGTTCTGGCGCACCTGGGACTCCATTTCAGCGTTTCGGTGGTTTTGGGTGGCGCAAAAAAAGCAGTAAAGAAATAGATGAAAAAAGAGCAAAAGACTCAGAGAGGGTTCCGTTCAAACACTGTTGAAGCAAGAACTCTGCTCAGAGTCAAAACTAGATCTGATCACAACACAAAGGATCTCTGTATTTATAGGCAGCCAGCCCGAGGACTTAACACCCTCCCTTCACTTACATCATCTACCAGCAGCCAATCACAACCCAAGGATTCTGCTCACCATCACAGAGGGAGGGGGGATTACCTCACCACTAGTCATTTTACAGAAATGAGTAAACATGCAGATTCACATTTGCTTGCAAATATTTTCAGTTACACTAGTGACATTTTTACCAGATATATAATGTTTACAATGGATCTGTGTGCTAAGCTTAAATTGGCCATACGCTGGTAGATTTTCATATGAACTTTCATGGGACAAATCTCTTCAATTCTAAATGTTGTATGATTTTAACATTCAATTTTGGAATTAAAACCACATTCACTGTTAGAATTTTGGTTGGTCGAGAAACATTTTCCATCACGTTCCTTCGATATTTTGTCATCACTGCGGTCAAAATCAATCATCGATTTGACCCCATTAGCTATTAGAAAATCTAACAAACGCTCCATTGTAAAGAAATTCTAACCCAGCTTTAGTTTAAAAACAATTATAGTAACATCTACACATACAGCATACATCAAGGGCCATTCACACTTGCCCGGCCACTGAACACTGCATTTTAGCAGACGGGCTAGTGTGTTGTGGCAGCTCCGGCAGTGTGCGTTGTATCTACAATTGCCACCTTTTCTTCAAGTGAAACCCGAACACTGTGTGGGTTCTCATAGGGGCTGTGTGCCTCTCAGGTGGGCTATGTGGCTCTTACATGGATTGTGTGACTCTCAGGTGGGCTGTGCTCCTCTCATGTGGGCTATGCGCCTCTCAGGTGAGCTGTGCAGCTCTCAGGTGGGCTATGCATATTTCAGGTGGGCTATTCGCCCCTCAAGTTGGCTGTGTGTCTCTCAGGTGGGCTGTGTGACTCTCAGGTGAGCTGTGCGCACTCAGGTGGGCTGTGTGACTCTCAAGTGGGCTGCGCAACTCTCAGGTGGGCTATGCAACTCTCAAATGGGCTGTGCGACTCTCAGGTGGGCTGTGCGACTCTCAGGTGGGCTGTGTGACTCTCAGGTGGGCTGTGTGACTCTCAGGTGGGCTGTCTGGGCTATGGTGTCTCACAAGGGGTCCGCAGGTGGGCAAGCACAGTGTCAGGGAGCCGAAGGATGAGGAGAAGGCAATAAAAGATCCGGCTGCCGTGGTCAACAGGCACAGGCTGCCCGCAGCTCAGAGGAAGATCCAGTTTCAGGCAGATGCGGCTGCCCGAGATTGCGCTTGCTGGGGACCTTGGCAGCTGCATCTGGCTGGACACCCAGACACAAAATCGGACTGTCCAGGTCAAAACCGGACAGGTGGCAGCCCTAGTTGTATCACACATTGCCGGAGTTGTCACTGTTTACATTTTCTTTTAACTTTACGTGGACTGTACAATGTAAACACTCCATTCAGGTCCCTGGGGCATGCACTGCGCTGCCGAGTGGCGACCTGCGGTGGCATGTTTGCATTTTATCGCAGAGTCCATCACGCGCGCATTGTGGTCTGAATAGGACACATAGAAAACAATTATTTTCTATGTGTCCTTGTGGTGACTTGTGTTGAGCTGCTGCAGTAAAACGCAGGTCTGCGCTATATGTGGAAAAGGGCCTTTAATGGTCCCCTAAAACTGACATTTAAGTTATGGATTGATATCTTTATTGCTACTGTGTAACTAGCTTTAATGGTAAAACCCATCATTGTTGGTGCATCTTGATGCCATGGTCTTATTCCATCTGCTGTGTTCTCCATAATGTGTGTATAGAGCAGGTGCGTTTTTCCTTGCTGTATAAGTGCATGGGGTACTATTCAGAATGGAAGGCAACACACGTCAATGGACATATACCTTTGTTTGAGGATCCATTTTTGATCAATGTATCTGTGTAAAGGTGAATTTTTTTGTAGCATTGTCAAGTCAACATGCATTTTTTGCGTGCCTTGATGTGCGTTTTGACATGCGCTAACTTGTGTTTTCAATGAATTTTTAACATTCAGAACTTGTTAACAAACATTGATCAAGGCAACACAGAGAAAACAGAGCAGACATGTTGTATTTTTTGCAACACACTGCAATGCAGTGAGATGGGAACAGATACTATTTGTTATTATGTGCAAGTTGGTCACATGCATTTTAGCACAGTGGAGGGCATGAGTTAAAAAGGAACTGTGTAAATGGGTCCTAAATGCGCAAAAGTGTGAATGGCCCCTTGGACCCCCTTCACATTAACGGTTGCATTAATGCAGTGTATTTCCATGTGTGGCAATGCACCTGCATAGGTGTGTGTGGGCTCATTTAGTTTCCCTTTCTCCCTAAACCACAGCACATATACTGTATGTAAACCAGCCACATAGGAGAGAAAGGGATTTCTACTAGTAATACATTTAATGCAGCAAAAGCATGCACGCAAACATTTTGCTGCATGAAAATAGAAAAGCGTAAATAGGACCTCAGGCTGGATTCACACATTACCATTTTTGTGCGTTGTGTAAACGCATATGCATTGCCGCTTGTTTTGCGTGCCATACATTAATGTGCTTTGCGTTAGGCAGCCCATTTATTTTAAATGGTCTTCCAATACACAAGAACAGACTGAAAAGAGACAGACAGACATGCAGCATTCTGCCCAAGGCAGCACACCAAAATGCAGGTAAAGTACCTTGGAGATGTATTTCCTTAGTGTGTTGGGAATGCCAAAGCACACTAATGAATGTTACATGCGTTGCTTGCAGTAATAAGTGCATTACCACAACACATTGCATCACAAAAGTGTTTTGGGCCCTCTGTGTTTCAGTAGCTGATTGGTACGGAATATATATGTGATACTATATTAAGTAAGTCATTCGTCCACTGTGACATTTCAAACAGACCAAAAATCGTGAATGCAGCATTTTTGGCAGAGCAGGATAGGTGCGTTGGGGTTAGCGGTGTATTTAACTTTTGTGCTGCCCTAGGCAAGGCCGCAACATGCCTCGCGGCAGATACGCCCCTGGTTGTGGTGCCATACAGAATGAAACCGGTTCCAAAGGAAACCTTGATCAGCATTTCGCATTTCCTCAGTCTTAAACAGGATGGAAAGAAAGTCCTTGCGCAAAAAAGACAAAAGAATAGGCGAAAGGACGGCATGACAGGGTGGGCAGGCAATCAGGGAGTAAGGGGTTAAGGTTAGTAAAGTTGGGTGGGGGGATGGTCACTTACCATCGATTGGCCGGGTCAAGTCATCCGGGAGGAGCATCTGGGGTGGTCTGTGTGGGGGTGGAGGGTGGTCCAGTCAGTCTGGAGCTGGCACACGATTAGTACTATTCCCGCCCTCCCTTGTTTTAAGTTTGTTATTTTCCTATTTTATTACTGTTTTGTCGTGTTTTCTTTGTCTGTGTTGCCTAGGTCCTGTGAAGGCAGGTGTCGGTACGTGGGAATACGGTTGGACTCGTCTGTGGTACGTAGTCCTGGTTGTTCTCTGGCGGGTTCAGCAGAGAGAGGTCGAAGAACTATGTGTAGGTAGGTCTCTGCTGTTACTTCCTAGGTTGTCCCTGAGTTGGTGTGTTGCGGCTAGGGGCCAGTGGTTTTCAGGGGTAAGCAGGGATCTACTTTAGCTGAGTAAGTGGTGCCTTCACAGACCTCAGGCCAAATTACGTATAGGGATACAGTTGTGGTATATTGTCATATGTCATGTTTTAAGTAACAATAATACTTTATGAGATTTTGTAATAAACGGCTGATACAGCCATTTTATATCCAATCCTGTTTGGTCTTTTATTTGGGGAAATGAGAAGTTGAGAAGGGGTCAGATGCTGTAATCAGCTGTTCATGGTTGGGAAAAGATGACTATGCCTTACCCTGTCAAGAGACCAACATTGCCAGCATGTACCCTGTGTGTTCTTCTTTTACAAAATAATGTTGCCTAATAAAAAAGTGTTTGTTTCTTGCCTTAAAGTGACACTAAACTCAGGAGTTAAATCTTAAAAATGCATTCAAGTACCTTAACTATTAACAAAAATGCAGCGTATTTGTGTATCGCTCTAAATAAAAATAATTTTTATTTAACCACTTCAAGACCAGGTGTTTAGACCCCCTTCCTGGCCAGGCCATTTTTCAGTAAATAATTTAAAATAATCTCTGAATTCATACTGACACTGTGCTTCCTTCTGGAGGGTGGCTACTTTTGTTCCCCATAGTCCCTGTGTGTGCTGTAAAGCTCACTCGCGTGATGGACTACAATCTCACGTTTAGTTAATACTAATTTATATTGAGATTGTAATCCATCATGGGAGAGAACTTGGCATGGTGGCTACTTGACAACACACACAAGGACCATGGGGAACAAAACTAGCCACCCTCTAGAAGGAAGGACAGTGTCAGTATGAATTCAGAGATTATTTTAGGATCTACAACTGAGTGATAAACAAGTAAGATACATTTTTGTTAATAGTTAAGGTACTTGAATGCATTTTTAAGACTTAACTCCTGAGTTTAGTGTCACTTTAAGGGAGATGTCCTTTAGCTGGTCCTGTGCCCCAGTGCCATGCTTTCTGGGCCGGGTGAGGCACCCCCAGGCCGCCGAAGCTCCACCCCGTCGCGTCCCAGCTCTGCCCTGTCCTGCTGAAGCTCCGCCCTAGCCCGGTAACCAATTTTTGTGGGGAGGAGGAAGGGAGGAGCATCCCTGTCCCTCATTTGCTCGTCACTGCTGTGGCATCGAGATCAATGGCTTCAGTGGGGTTTTTTCCTTTTGCCATTGGTCCAAGCCATTAGAGGCTGTGACCGCTCTTGCTTCACCAGGTTAGGTTACACATGCAGTGAGGAGGCCCACTACTGTGTAACCTAACTACCTGTCAAAAGCCGGATGCAGTGCTGCCTGTAATTAACAGGCAGCACTCCATCCATGACAGGTTACACATTGGGGATGCTTTCCCTGCTGTGTAACCTCATAGAAACCGATCTGAATGGAGAAAAAGCTGTCAGTTTCACATGAGTTTATCAGCATCAGCAGCAGGTACTG